CCCTTCCCCTATCCCTTCCCGACCCTTTCATCCGCATCCCATATCCCCAAAAGGCCGGCAACGCACTCGTAACTCATTTGGTGTTGCGGGTGCCCATGGGCGGCGCCGATTGCTTACCATCGGGTAATCCGTCTGCTCGTTTGCCGACTTATACCATAAAAAAAAGAATAGGTACAAGATACAACTCATAACTTTTTTAGGTAAGTTCATCTTCGGATCGCGTGTGTATAATGGATGCCGTGTCGAATCCAGCGACGTAACACCAAGGCTATATTTAATTATTCACTAATGTCAATGGGTTATGGTTTACGAACTAAATTCTAGTTCTTACTTATTTTTAGCTAAGTATACTGGATATAAGTAGGTACCTATATATCTTTTGGTTATTACTTACAACGTGTGTTAGATAACTTTGTTGCTGCACGGTTTAGTTTTACGACTAGATACTGTGCAATGTGTCGCGGGTTCAATTAACACACGGAACCACACTTTGTGTAATCTACAAACTGTTGTTTCGGATCTGATACAGGAGAAGATTCTTGTGAGGGGCAACATTTTATTTAAGAAGAACTTTCGCTTGTCGTGTTGTTTCTAGTTAATTCAGAATTAGTAATGTCGTTGCCTAGTTTCGGATGTTCATTAAAAGTATTTACTGAATTTGATAAGTTGGAAACTAGCGTATTAGGTACCTTAAATAAGGCTTATAGGTCGACAATGGCAAAACAATCAACAGTTAACACAAATAAACTATCATATTTATACTTGTCTAAAATAAAACAATTTCTTGTCCTCCACAGCCGCAACGAAGCGATCTTCCAGGTCTTCAAGCGATAGTGCACTTGCAAGCGGATGAGGAGTCAGGAGTGGAAGGTGACCTGATCTTCACACAGCTGGTGCCAAATGGGCCAGTGACCATCGAAGGCAACATCACTGGACTGGCGCCAGGCTTACATGGCGTCCACGTTCACCAAACTGGTGCTGTGAAGGATAACTGCAAAGAGATTGGACCACATTTCCTTGCTTTCTATGTAAGTATTTTTTTCTGCCATGCTTTTACGGGATATTGCCAACCAAATAATATAGGTATACTTAATTACCTGAAGGGTTAAGGGGAAATTGAAGAAGCCTGGGAGGAGTCAGGCTCCTTTATTTTCCCTTGGGCGTGGCGTCACGCGTGAACAGCTGGAAGAATTCCAAAAATTCTGCTCTAGCTGAGTTTTTTACTATCAGGGGAAGTTTCTAATAAAACAATATTTTATTAAAATATAAGGAGAAATCAGGAAATAATATCCTTCCGATGTTCTGGCGGCAAACGAGCAGACGGATTTCCTGATTGTAAGCAATCATATCTCACAGGCTTTCGCAATACAAAAGAAGTTGCAAGTGTCTTGCCGACCTTTTAGTGATAAGGGATTAGGGATTATGAAAGGATAGGAGGGTGCTAAAAAATGTGATTTCTTGTCTTCCCTTTTTCATACGGCGAAATCCTACGCTGTGGTATTTTCACGCCGGTTTTCAGTGACGCTGTGCTATCACTCCGGTTTAGCCAGCCAGATTTGTGCCGAAGCATAGCTCTCCCACAACAGAGATTCCTTATCTTTAAGATAACCATCTACAGACTCTAATTCATATCTGTTTTTCTTTCCAGGGTCGTCACGGCGGTCCTCGCGACAACGTTCGCCATGTTGGTGACCTTGGCAATATAAAGGCTGAGGAAGGACCTGTAACCGTTAAAATCATTGACCACCTCATCTCTTTAGCTGGTCCACGGTCCATAGTCGGTCGCTCTTTAGCTATCTCTAAAGGCGAAGATGATTATGGCAGAGCCAGCACGGAAGACAGTGCCCTAACTGGCACTTCTGGACCAGCTGTTGCTTGTGGCATAATTGGCTACCTCCACTAATATTTCGAAATAATTTCTTCTGTAAATTGTGATATTGAGATTCGTACTTTTGTTAATATAATATCTGTATATATATTTCGTGTTTTATTTATAATTCATTCCAAGTAAAATTGCAGCGCCTTTTATACATATTATAGCAAACCGCTGAGTAAACATTTTGCTATATATTTCCAATAGGCGTTAGATTTTTCGAAATTATGGTTTGAGTGATAGCACACTTTCATCACATGACCTTTAGTAAAATTATTAGGGTGCGTTATTTGTAAATCTAAGTAAAAATATCTTATACCAGAAAACAAAGCTAAGTAGATATTCACCTATATAAAAATTTCACTAAATTAATTATCATGAAGAAGTACCTACCCTCCTGCACCTACAATTATTTATCAAATAGATCCATGTAGGTAAAGCTTGTAAAAACTGCATTATCTTTAATAAGAAATTAACCTTATATAAGTGTGTTTATTCACTTACCTACAGACATATGGGTAGGTAAGTATTTATTGTCAAAACTGATAAATAATAATGTAAAGTTTAATATCGAAACTCATATATCAGGACTTAGATAAGTTATTTACCGATATTTTTCATTGCTTCCTAATATCGTCGAGTGACAAATCAGATTTAATTGATAACGGGTAAATATAAATCATGATTCTGCGATTACGACAAATTATCTTAATAACCCGATATGAATATAGTCACGTACATACTGAATGCTTAACTACGCGAATATTGAAAAAACCATTGGTTCCTTGACTTGAGTTCTCCCGCCCAGGGTGAGGCAAGAGGGAGTGTCAGACTTTAACTGACCAAAAATCCCCTGTTCCTTCTACTGCTTCAGGCCTATGCGAGCACCCAGCAACCACAGCTGAGCTATTTAGTACCCGTGACTTGCAATTTGCAAACATGTATTTAAAATCATAAAGGTCATATTCCCGATTTGATAGGTACTAGATGTTATTGCCATTATTTATTCAGCGTTTTAATTTATTGGGGGTAGAAAACCTGTTTTTTTTCTATGACTTCTTCTGTCTTGAGTGGGCGAGGGACGCGGCGGGAGGGAGTGTCAGAATCTTACTGACTAAAAACCCCCCTGTTCTTAAGGGTGTGTTTAGGTACTCGTTACATTAAAAATGTTAAACTTTGCCTACGCTTTAAGAGATTAAAATTGCTTGATGTTATTAGGCAGAGGGTATTTAAGTAGTATTTAAACTATATGCGGTTAACTAGTTAAAAATGTACTGAAGAAAACTAGTTACTATCATGTAACTTCACTTTCTCTGCTCGGCACCTTTTGATCGTAGCGAGATGTTCAATAGCCAATAGTATTCCTTGATAAATGGACTAATCAACACAGAATTTTCAATTCGAACCAGTAGTTTCTGAGACTAGCGCGTTCAAACGATCACTCTTCTGTTAAATACAGCAGATACGTGTACCTACTTTGACTATCACAATTCAAGGAACTACGAGCGTGATGTAATATCAATTTAAATTTTTGTTTACATTATGTAACTACTAGGTACTTAAATATTTGTATACCTGTTACTGAGTAATTCGCGTATACGCGCAAAATAAGATACTGTTTGTTGAGGTATTTTCAAACATCCGTAGTTCGTAGTATTGTTTCGAGCGTAGGCTTAGTTGCTTCAAATATCTTAGATATTTGCTTTAAATAGGTTTTACGACACTTCACGACATAGGCAGATCTACCTTTGTCTAATAAAATTATAACAGAATAAACCCTAATTCCTATTCCTTATCTATACTAATATTATAAAGAAGCACAAATTTGAAAGTTTGTATGTAGGGGGTAATCTTTGGAACCGCTGGTCGGATTGCCAAAATTCTTTCACTGATAGATAGCCACAATATTCCTGAGTGCTATAGACTATAAAACATCACGCTACTATCAAATGTAGCCGTACTAGCAGCGGGTGAAACCGCACGTAGAGTAGATTAGCTATATTGATAAAAATTTATTGATAAAAACCTCTGGACTGATTTTGTTGAAAGTATGTATGTATGTCGATAGGATATTCCCTGGACTAACATATAGGTAAGCTTTTGTCATCAACATACCACGCGGGAGAAGACGCGTGCGGAAGCTTGTAACTAATAAGAATACCTAGACTTTGCATAGGTAGGAGACACTTCAAGGGCGGATCCACCGTTGTGGGCACGATGGGCATGCCCACAACCTTAATACACTTGTGATTGAAATAGGTTTGGATCGAAACTGACTATTAGAAATTAGAAGAAATCGTGTCCGACTTCTTCCTAAGGCCAAAGTCCTGATGCTCAGAAAAAAGGTAATCTAATTCAAAAGTTCATAAACGATTTGCATGATTGTTAATGAGCATTTCCATGCTCCGACTCGTACTTAGCCGTTTTTCTAGTAGCTGTGACCACAACCTTTTTTGAAGGTTGGATCCGCGCTTGACACTTTCAATTTGCTCTAGAATAATGTTGTCTATACCTAGGCAGAATAAAATTAAAACAAATTTAGTAACCAACGGATATATTTCATGTATAAAAAAAATCTTCAACAAAAATGAAAACAATACAGAAAATTATTTAGAAACAGCACCGCATACAAAAAAGTACGGAAGAATCGGTTGTTTGAACAGAGGTATATTCTGTATTACATTATGTGATGTTTACGCTTAAATACTAGCTAGTTGTGCCTAAACCAAAGTAATAAATAAATGTAAAATGATTTTGTTACACTGAGGCGGACGGCAGATATAACTAAAGAATACTTTGTATATTTTGTGCTGTATTTAAAGTTTATTGAAATATAACAGCATTTTATGATGTTATATTCGGTCTACAGCGATGCAGCTCGATTATACAAGATGGAAAAATAAATGCAAGAAACAAGCGAGCTACATACACTTTGACATTTGACAGCTACAAAATGGCGCCAAAATTAACTCTGCTCGTACCGCTCCATTAATGAATCGATTTCAAAAATCGATTCAATTGATTTTATTTGACTTTAATATAAAAAAGAATAGCTTTTTGATTTTTATATATAAAAAAATTACACTGATTTTAAATTACGAATATACTAATGTCAGTCCCACTATGTTTACTGAAGGCCGATGGAGGCAATCAGTTGCTCGACCTTGGCGATGTATGCCTTCTGGGCGTCTTCCTTGGACAGACCCTTCTTCTTGGTCCATGCCTCGAACTTGGCCTTGCCCTTCAGGTCCAAGAAACCGGGGGCCTCTGTAAATAAAAATAAAATGTTTAAGTTAGTTGGTTTAATATGCCTTTAATATATCCCATTCGGATATCAAAGGTAGATAGAAATCGATCGCTCATCAGTAACAAAAAAGTATTGTGACAAAATTGTCGTAGGGCGAAATTAATATATATAATATATTTTTTTTGCAGATGAAAAGAAACCTATGCGTATAACTTTGCGCGGCGTCCTAATTATGACCTTGGAAAAGCATTCTGGTTCCTGTGAACTTAAACGATCGTTTTCGTTCGTTTACGTAAACAAAGGCCAAGTTAATTACAGCCGATCTTTTACATCTAACCTTAGATAGTGTATCAGAGATAGTGGTATCGCCTCTCAATATGAGCGGACGACATAGAAACTTTACTTATAACATAGAATGAATAACAGAATATTAGATCTAAGTATTATTGCTTAGAATCACACACAACCGTGTTATATATATAGTAACCATCACTACCACTACCTATTAAATAGAACAATACGAACATTATAAAAAGAAAAAAAGATGGCGGGATTTGCAAGTATGACTCACAACTGCAAAACTGAAGTTAAATGAATTTAGACCTTATCCAGCTTCATTTGAAGTTTAAGACTATTTGCAACTAGGTTAGGATGAGTGATACAAGTGGGTATTTCATTTCTGATGCAATTTAGTACAATTGATTCGGCCATTTTATAACTTGGGTGCTTGCGGATGCTCAGTTATCAGAGATTGAGTCACTTTGACCGCCTTACAGTATCGTAATAATAGAGATTCATATCATCAGTTTAAGAGATTGTGTATGTGATTAGTAGCTTAAAGATAAACGGCTTTACGCATGATTGATACGTTTTGTTTTTGTTTTGTTTACTATACTTTAGGTACTTTTAAAATATGGTTAAGAAACTTATCGACACTTTTCTTTTATGTAATATGTCGGCAAACGAGCAGACCATAGATATAAGATATTTCTGTGGAGCAGACGGATAACCTAATGGTAAGCAATCACGCCACCCATGGACACCCGCAGCGGATTAGTTACGAGTGTGTTGCCCACCTTTTAGGGATTAGGGTTTTGGAGATTCAGGAATTGGGATTGGGGGAGGGGAAGGATTGGGCCTCTGGTAACCTCACTCACACGGCGAAACCCCAGTCTTTGGTTGTTTCACGCCGGTTTTCTGTGAGGCCGTGGTATCCATTCGTGCTGAAGCATGGCTCTCCCACACTTGATTTCTTACCAGCTTCTTTTTGGTCACAAAAGTCAAATCTAGTGATTTAAAAATACAGTTATCTAGCAGTAAACATTATGCCATATCTTATGACATCAATTCTCAAGATTTATACAAGTTAATTTATCATAGTAATAAAGAATGCTAAATAGTCATTAGTAAAACTTCGGGACAATATTAAACACTTTCATATGAATACCTTCCATGCCTGATTTGAATAACAACAAAAAAGTATGACAAGTAAAAAAATTTAATATTTATTTTCTTATTTTATATTATTTACAAAAAATATACAAGTATACCTAATCCTATTTTCGGTAGTTTTTAGATGTTCTTTTAATATGAAATAACTGTTTAAACATAAATAAGCCTTATATAAGCGAATGGAGTCTAAAAAACTGGCCATTTCTAAAAAATAACGGAGATACGAACCTGCCGCATATAATACCGTAATTTGAAGGCAATGTGGATTATGGGTAAGGTATGCAAATAAATTTAGCCTGTTAGACCATTTGTGTTCGTGTTACTCGAAAACAGCTAGACAGATTTCTATTAGATTTTTTTCATTTTTCACCGTCCTATGGAACAGGATCAGAAAAAAAATATTGGGCGATGCTAAATGATTAGCGCCACTAATGGTCACCCAATGATTAATAAAAATTGCTAAGATAATATAATTAACTGGATTCACCTTGATGGTAACGAAGCACAAGATTTTTTTAAAGAAAAATAAGGACTCAGATTAACACCCGGTTTTCGAAAGCCCGATCAATGTTAAAATCAACTAACTAGGTGTCAAATCTCTTGTCAAGTCATCTGATTGGTTGTTGATAATTCAGTCAACCAATCCGATGACTTGACAGGAGATTAAATTGATTTTAACATTGATCGGCATTTCGGAAACCAGTTGTAAAGGATTCATATTAAATTAATTGTCATGTCATTATTTCTGAAGCAAACGTTTAATACAACTTTTAAATAGAAATGTGTAATGAAATTAAACACAAGCATTTCATCATCAGATCATGCTAGATGTCGTGTATAAGGCTTTGGGCTTTCATTTTCAGCGCTTCGAAAACACGTTCGTTAGTCAAGAAAATAATAAACACTAAACTTCAACGAGATAATCCACTTCCAGGATATCACTCGTAAAATACGGATAAGATCAACTCGATTTCCATACAAAGAATAGAGTTTCACACAATTATTCGACTAGTCATAATGTAATTATTTTTATTCGCATAATAACAATAGACGGTGCCAGACGCGGGTTCGTAACTATTGAGGTTTTGTAGCTGAGGCCGTCAGGACGTCAAGGTCGAATGTAAATATGATTATTATTGATCTAGACATACGAACATCTACGATAACAGGTTATTAGAAGGCCCAGTAACATTACAAGGGGTTGTTAAGGACGATTTGTTTTAAAAAGGTATCAATCATTCCAAGGCAAATGCTAAAAGCTCATATACCTACTTCTGGAAAAAATCAATTTCTCAGAAGATTCTTTACTAGATTATCAAACTAGTGATGTGATTACTTGAAAGTAAATCAGAAATGAAAATTTTTGATTATTGCCTATGTACCACACTAAAGAATATTGTATTTTGATTTTTTTCTAAAAATGCAAATAAAGTATTCCAGCATTAATTAAGAACAGGGTTGCTGGTGCAATTGCAATAATTTACCATGGCCCCAGCTTGGAGCAGGAGAAGGGACGGAGTGGTTTTTAGATTTAAGTCTGACACTCCCTTTCGCCTTCATACCTAGGGCGAGAGAAGCCATTACATGACGTTCTAAATAAAAAAGCGTTGCCAAAGAAATGCCATATTTAGCTAAACACCATTCGCCAAAAGAAAGTAGAAAACACGTCGTTGAAGTAAATTTAAATATGCACACTCACTCTCTTCCATAAAATGCTATTTCATGGCACGGAGGTGAATTAGGTTAATGGCATACCTACATATGTAGGTAATACAGTATTTATATGCTGGTGCTAACGTATTTTTGTTCGTTTAGTGACCGACCACGATGTGTGTTCCACACGAAACTACCATTACCTATATGCTTACTAAAATATTCATTTCGTAATAGCCAGTTACTTGTTTTGTAATTGAGGCTTTAAAATTACATAAAAATTGATTGTAGAAAAGTACCTAGGGTATTTTACATAGTTATTGACGAAAAATGGTCAGCCTTAGTCAAAAACCATAAAAATATTTGAAAATAATAAAAAATAAGTACCTACTAAAATACATTGGTAATTAACAGTATTTATTATTGACTGCTAAGTTGAACATAACATTAAATGAAACATTATCGAGTATGTAATCAATTACATTGCCTTATTAAAGTTACCTATGAGTTAATACATCCATTTAACAATGTCTTTTTTCAACCTCTAAAAAAGTAACATTTACGCGGCAATTATTTACACAGTACTTTTTTTACTCTGTGTCGTAAAAAATGTCGCGGCCATGCGTGAAGAGGTTCGAAGTTCAAAGATTATAAATTAGCTGTGGTTCACGGTTAACAAATTATCTTTTAATATAATTTATTACGTGTCACATTATAATATTTTTCATGTACTCTCTAACCGCTTATCCATCCAAAGATTTTCTTTTAAATATTTTTATGATGGGACCGCTAATATTCTATTTCTATTAGTAATTTGTAATATTTGCATCCTTCGTATTTTTATAGAGTAAGTACAGTAAAGAATTTGTATTTTAAATATTTCTGATGAAAAACTTTTAAGTCCCCGAACATCATGGTCCAGAAAACGACAGTGCTGCCAGAAAAAGTTGATGTATAAAAAAGGATTTTTTGGGTGTCATAATAGATTCATTTGTCTACCCAGTACCCACTAGCTACAAAAGTGTATCGCATAATAATATCGTTTAAATACCGTTTTAAGATTAACCCACTTTATCTTATTAGAACATAAACACATATTTTTTTGAATAAATTATATGCACCGCTAACATAATATGTATTAATAACGATAAACCAGACAGTTTATAGACCAAAACAAAAACAGATGAGTGTACGGTGCGTGGAACAATGTTTACGTGTAATGAAATCATTGGTAAACAATTTGGTTTATTTTATTTTTAATAACAATTGACTGGTAAATAGTTCTTCTAAGACGCAAGCGCGGGAAATAAATGTTTATGAAGTCTGAGCCTAATTGAAAAAAATCGTGTAGTTTTTACTCTGTGGTCATTTCTACGATAGTTGTTTTTTTTTTCATAAATAATGACAGGGCGTCGCTAACTCTTTTTCAATGGACAACCACTAATCAGTTATGTTAGTTTAACGTTCTATAATTCAAAACGTTTAACGTATTATTATTAATATCCAATTCAAAAGCAACCAAAGAGTGATGTCCTGTGGTACATATTCCTTTGCTAACGTGCATAGCGGTTGGTGCCTAATGAAAGGGTAGATAAGTATACTCACTTGAGGGGTCGGAGTCACCGACGGTAGCCTGCTTGAAGAGGGCGTACAGCTCAAGGAGGTCAGAATCGCTGGGGAGGGACTTCAGTTTCTTGACGTCTCCGGCGGCTTTGTCGAATTGCTGAAAATAAATAGGCAATTGTTATCATTTTTATTTTGTGGCTTCCGTGAGACATCAGCCAGCTAGAGTAAGAGGAGTTGGATGTTCGGGAACAAAGTGAGTATAAGCCCCTTGCGTGGCTTGAAACTAGTCGAGTCAGGTCGTCGAATTACGATAAATATAATGATATGCCTGAAATCATAATTGTTATTATGCTGGAATCAGGACTGTGATCGTCGTGTCTGATAGGAATTTTTCGAGATGGTAAGCATAGGTATCTCGAAATAAGTAGGTAACTTGACCATCGTTACCATATAATACAATCAACCTAACTGTTTGGTACACGAGTATAGGGAGGAAAACAAAATATGTATGACCTTGATTACTAGTAGATTTCCTAGTTATTCTTCTTTTCTTATTTTTAAAATGATCATGCATACACCTACTGTTTTAAATATTAAAAAGCCTTTATCAGACTTGAACTTTGCTACTTATTATCATAAAACGGATTAATGATTCACCAACTAAAAATAACTTTTAAAACACAAAAACTTTTTGAAAGTCGTTATTTCCTTTATAAATATGTTATTAAGTCCTGGTCCTGAACTTTGCCATAGGAATGACGTGTACATATGTACCTACGTATGTAAATGAATTTTATTTACGTTAAAAGACGGACTAATTTCCTAAATTACAGTCCCGACGATTCTATAAAAACTCCTTAATTAAAATAAACGCTTGAGTGTTATTGTTTGTTTTGCTGTAGTGTGATTTTATACTTAATGATTTTCATATTTAGGTAGAGAGTGAAAATTATATCAATAGATCTCAACCCAGAATCTGAAGCGAAGTTGGGTTTCTGTCGAACATAATAATATGGGCTTGGGGTTTCTATCCTATTTGTAAAAAAATTAAACGGCCTTCAAGAGTTATTTTATTTTTTCTCATATTGTGTCTTTAAGCTGAAAGTTCTCCGAAAGTGTTAAAATAAAAATAATACCAGAAATCTATAAATAAAAAGAGAGATTTTAAATTATTATTTCCAGGCAACTAAAGACTTAGGTAGATAACAGGCAGAAATGCATTACCATGGCGTGTCGTGTCGTGAAGCGCTAGAACGCTCCGGCTTCGTACATTTGATAGACACGACGATACAACACGCTACATAAATGTGTCTCTAATTAGAGTAAACTATAAACCCACCCCGGCTTCGCACGAGTGGAATCCTGGTACTAAATTTCACCTTTAATGAATGTTACTGTACATAAAGTTATAAAACCTTCCTTTTCAATAACTCTATTCATAAAACCGCATCAAAATCCGTTGAGTGGTTTTTAAGATTTAAAGTTACATAAGGATATAGAGACAGAGAAAGGTATTTTGTTTTATACTATGTAGTGATGCATAAAATATAGGTAGACTTATGACACGACACGATACACCAAGCCACGGTAGTATTTTACTGCCATAATAAAAAATAAGTATACTCGTATGTAAAAACCTACCTACGTCTATGCAGAAAAATCATATCTAAGAATTTTTGCATAAGAACATTCTTGCATGCTGCTAAAGCCAGTCCATGAACTGTGGACTACGCAAATATTAGTTCACAGCGGGAATTGACCTCGGAGTCCGCGTGTAAATGACGCACACAGGTAGGTACAGGTTTTTGCCCCTAACTTTAAAATAGCAAAAAATCGATTTTAGATAGACGATTATTTGACAAGTTATTAAAAATCTAGAAAACTGGTCTCCAAAAATATAACTCATTATCTCTCGAGTTTTTCAGCATCTTAACTTCTTATTTAATATTTTCAATCTTCATCTTTTCTCTAATATCTAATATAGTGCTATATATTAAGAACTTATTATAGCTCATTAAGTATTTTCTATTCAAATTTGGTATTAACATGAAACTATTTTTTGTTAATGAAGACGTCAGACACTAGTTTTGCCTGTCGTAGGCCATAAGTGCATTTACAGACAAATCTACAATTTAAGTACCTACAAATCACACTTAGACCTAAGTAACAATTTTGTGTAGTAAACTGAACCCGCGAAACATTGTACAGCACCCAGTTGTCCAATTACTGCCGCATTATTAATAATGTTACCAAATGTTCACAGTAAGTTGGCTAGCTAAATACTGCATTATGACAACATACTTGGGTACATACTTAAGTGTTAACATGGGTAAATTGTAAATTCTCTTGAAAGTATGACGTCAATTTAACGCAAAGAAAAACAACTTGTCTTAACGCAAAGATCAGATAAGTAGTAACATCACAAAGTATAAAGAGGTTGAATAATTCAAACGAATTAAGACTATGATTTCTAGCAGTTGACCATAGATAATTTTTCCACCGAAATTACTTGATTGTATGTCCTTTTTGATGCCTTTTGCGTCGCTAAATTGTAATCTTCATTAATTTTCTAGTTTTAAAAAATCATGTCAGGAAAGTTAGTTTATTATTTTAAAGTACACTGTAATTAATTTAAGCAAATTGTACATAAAACGAATTATACCTTTGACCCGTCTTGAATTAATTTTGTAATTAGTAAGTATTCCTGAAGTTTATTTATTACCCAATTATTAAAAAAGATTATTTTTAGTACAGGGGCCATTAGACACGGGCGAAGGTTAGAATGCAATGACAACAATTCAGTAATACCTAACCACCAATTATGGTAGAACCATGAACCTATGGTAACTCCTTCATAAAAGCCTAAGAGTCACAGGTCAATGCTAATTAGTTGTTAGTTTAGACACACAACAATAGTGTTTGTGAATAGCATCCTTGCAGTTTCTATGTAATGTCTATCTTTGTACAATATTATGTAAGTTTATGTTTATACATATGTATAACGACCTTACTGGCACTATAATAGTTAATGTTTTTTTTCTTTTCAACATTGGTCTTCAAAAAAACTTTATTTTACCAATGAGTATACCTAAGTCTCACTTTGACCTGCATGTCGTCCAAGCCGTATCCGGCGACGGCGACTCCCAAATGTCTAACCCGGGTCGTTGTTATGATAGGCTCTAATGTGGCTAGCAAAACCGAACTTCGATCTAAAGGTCCGGCTACATGGCACACAAAATAACTGACCATCAGAATTAACTGTGTAGTTGTAGGAGGGCTTGACAGCCTGGTTCACATACTCTATCTAATTTATTTGATAGGTACATGGCAGCTATTTATATTTAGGCAATTGAAAAAATTATACATAAACTAGTTGACCCTTCAAACATTGTTTTGCCCTATAAAATATTTATCTACTTAAGAGGTGTGAAAAATAACCAGTAGGTAATTCTCAGAGTTACTGAATATATGCATATAAAATTTGGTAAAAATCAGTAAGCCCTGTGCGAGGAGTGCCATTGTGACACCAGAATTTTATATAGAACATACAGATAAATATAAAATTAAACCCAATTTTCCAAGGTCACAGAACCAATTCTTTTTTTTATGTGTTTACAGAAGGCCTTAGTGAGAGAAAATTTTAGAAAAGTGTAGAAGTGGAGAAATTACATCCCTGTAGATGCAATGGTGGTTACTAGCACCACAAACTATTGATACCAAGTTAATTGGACGGCCTGGCAAAGAAGAAGCGGGCTACTACTACAAATATAATCTTTACTCAATATAATATAATTATGTCATTTGTATGACAGGTCACATTGAAGGTTTTAAGTATGTAAACATAGTATATATAATTCCACACAGAATACTGATAGCATCCTCCACATAACAAACAATCAGGAATTTGTGATGTTTGTACGGTATTTATTTTCATTCATTTACAAAACTTGACTTGCAATATTAAAATCAGTGTGGTAGGTTTGAAAATGACAATGTAATGATGACTCAATGTATTGATTAACTTAAACAATAATGGTTGTTCCATTTTTCATTTTTGTTTGAACTGTCATGAACTTTAGTATGCATGTTTTGTTGGCATTGTATGTTTATTTCTTAATACTTTATAAACTGTTATAAATTCCATCCAAATTATGAGAAAATCATGAGGTGTTAAGGTAAGAAATAGCAGAAATTAATAATTTGATAACTTGTCTCAATTATTAATTTAGTTATACTATGAGATTGTCCTAGGTAAGAGACACTATTTCTCTAAAATATTATAATAAAAAATACATGTACTTTGTTTAACTTTCAAATGTTGATTTTAAATCAAACATTCAATAACATATTGAATAGTCCTAAGTCATCGTCAAATTTTATGAAATTATGAATTAAATGTAAACTACTTAATTACCGGACAACCAATGTGTGAATCAGACTGGTGTTTTCAAAATATTAATAATAAAATAACACCATGATTGAAGGCTCCTATTTAATTAACTTATGTAAATTATTAAGGATGTTATAAGTCAACATGAAAAAAGTCTTCAATTAATTTAAACAAATTATAATTGATTACCAAAAATTCTCATGGGCATAAAAACAATATATCCAAGGCCCTTTTTTTAAATTGAACCTGTTTCTATATTAATAACTATAAAAACTACATACTTATTTGAGAAAACAACAAGTGTAGACTAAAGGTTATTTTAAACAAATGTGGGGATAATATAAATGTAGGAATATGTGTACTGTATGTGTTTTAAAATCAGTTCTAATTATTATTTGAAGTAGTATTGTCATGCTCATTGAGTTGCTAGTCATCCTCAAAATAATTTCAAATGAAAGTAGGTAAATGACCCTCCACTTTCTGAAATAGTTGCCAACTGATGCATGATGAATATCAAATTGCACATTAGTCTATTTTTTTACAATCATAAGAGACTTGGGAAGTGAAATTGCAATAGCATCTCAAACTTTATGACGTGACTAATAAAATAATTAAGAAATACTCACTTCCTGGAGAGACATGGTGATTGTTGATAGATGATACGGCTAGCTAACCTAAAAACACAGAAATAATGTTATAACACCAGTTTTAAATCAACTATTGAGGGTATATAGTGATAGCCGGCTGAATATAATGACACTTAACTTCATAAAAAGTTAACAAAAAAACAAATTGACGTCTTACTGCATAATTCATTAGATGTTAACAAAACAAAAGAAATTACAAATTATTATAAAAATAATTTGATTTGATGAGGACTTTGGAAAAAAAATACTACTATATCAAAAATACACGTCACTAACTTACAGTTAAACAGAAGCGTGTGCTCGGCACGAAAACTCGTTAGGAACTGGTCGCGTAAACCGACTTGGGCAAGCACAATTCAAACGGCCACAAAAGTAATAAAAAATATGATGACGAATCCGATATCAACACCACGTAATACAAACGTTATCTTTATCGTATAAGTCTATCGATGATTAGTAAAAATTAAGGAATTGTTAGGTTATGTAGGTACAGTAGGTACGCTGAATGACATTGGCGCATGACATAAAAATGACATTTTACGAGAAATTCGCAGGGATGAACCCGAAGATCACACACTTTATAGGCAGGGATGACACTTGACTGGTGTCTTTTTTAATATTAATATAATAGATATGTTTGTAGTGAACCTAGTTACAAACAAAATAAGAAAAGAAATGCTGGTGACTAAATATAAAGTAAATATTTCCGATTTTTTAAAATGGTACCTAATAAGAGCTGTAAATCTGTGGGGTCAATAGGCACGAACCAGAAAGGGGTGAATATTAGCAGTACCGTACTTAAAAAAAGTATGAATGAAGATAAAATGAGTAAATATCTATAATATTGTCTATCTATTTAGAGTTCTAAGTAAGTGTATGTAATAGGATATCGCATTTGGCCAAAATTAGTAATGACCTATGGCTCTCAGTTGCGGCAGAGTTTTCTATGAATTCCAACTATGAATTTCACGCTTCAACTCATTCCACGTCATTCCGAATAATTCCGATATTCGTCACTTCTATCGACATGATGCAACTCAGGTTTGACTTATCAAATTAGACCTTTATACTCAATAGGAGATATATTCGTGAAACGTAAAATCTCTTAATACTAACTATCGTACATATTTACTAGATAACCGATTCTTTATTGCAAGCGGTAATAATTTGTGTGTATTGTATTTTCGTAGTATGTGTTTGTTTCGGATTTGACGCTATGGCTGTTGTTATTAATGACAAGATGAAGCACATCGTGCCGAGTCGTCAGGGAAGCGATAGACAACAACCACCTCTCTCGCCCGTCTTTGTTCCAGATTATAGTGCGGAGCGAAAGGGACTGGCAAACCCTCTTCCATTGCAATTCAATCATGGTACCTAAGTAGGTAAAAGTTGGAGAGCGAGAGGTATTAAACCTCTTCGCATCCCGCCACTACAGGAGACGTTTCGGGATAAGGGTCTGAACAGAACTAGAACCAATGTTACCCACCCCTTGATCGTCATTCGTATTGCGAGCGACCAACTCGATTAATTATTGAAACAAACATTGTGCCTAGATACTTATCATGTCATACATGGTGATATCATTTTTACATTCTTACACGTTTGATGTTCGGTGTAACAGATATTAAAGTTATTTGGGTCACACTTCCATATCATGCGGTCTCGTTGATGCCCATTAAATGATTCATTCATTTCTTGCTGGGCTTGTTAGAGTTAAGGTATTTATTTACCAATGTAGTATATTTTCCTGTAGTCCTTCCATTCAGTTTAGTTTAATTATTTACTAGTTAGGTAGATACATATTTCATGAAGCCAAGGTTTTCTTTCATTACTGATTGACTTGAAAATTGAGCAACGCGTTTGACTTTGTCTTGTATTAATAGGAAACAATAATTTGATTGTCTTTGAACTGATTGTCAAATTCAATACTTATAACCAAATGTCAAAAACAACACTTCTATGAAATTTGTATGTAATACTGAGTTATGACGTCATAGTATTTTTAAGACAAATAGCTTACATTACCTAAAAAAAATATCTGAAACTTAGTGTTGTATCGATCGATCGATAATTGAAAGTTTAGTTATTTATCAATATTTTATTGTACTGAAACGTCAAATTAATTTGTTTTTGACCTAGGAGACTAGCCAATTGTGCGTCATGCATGCTAAACTACCATTATGTAGATATTTAACCAGCTCAAATCCGTGATTTCACCTGCGTAAAATTATATCCTATGTTCAACGGGAATAGAGCGGATCCAAGTAGGGTTTTTCAAAATGTCAAGTAGTTTCGGAATCGATTCAATACAAACAATCAAACAATGTAATTTTCCCTCTTTATTATATTTGTGTAGATGTATATCGTATATATTTATGTAGATATCTATAGATATCTATCTATTGTTATTTCTTCTTTTACTTGAATAAAAATAAATAGTTCTGCAAAAATGGATGCGTTTATTGGTAATAATTTAAATTTATGAAATTAAAGTAGGTGGGTATCCTTACAATAAACATGATTATGCGTATTTAGGAGCCAGCTTCTCAGCCATTTCGATGTACTGTTTCTTAGCGTCATCCTTGGAGATTCCCTTGCGGCTGGTCCATGCCTTGAACTTGGCGTTCTCTACCATGCCGCTGGGCTCAGCTGGAACAAATAAATATACTATTAGCCATGGTATGCCATTTGTGTTGTTTACAGTAGGTACTTATAGAGGTTATACGTGGCGTGGTTTTCCATACAAGATTGCAAGTCCAAAACCATGGAAACTACTGAACCGAGTTTAATGAAATATGACATTTTTTTAAAAGCTTTTCAATTAAATAGTATTTCGAAAGTTTACTTATTAAGTTTTCAGACCTTGATATTTTCGTAGGGTAGGCTATCTTTCAGAAAAATTGGTAGGGTAGTAAACGTTCTTCTTTGGCCGGATTTGATAATAATTTTAACTGTGTTGTGTCAAATTTAAATAAGAACCTACCTACGTATTTAAAAACGTTAGGTTCACTCCGCATTTCTTACATCGGATTTATAACGAAACTAGTCATAAAAAAAGATGTTATGTATTCTACTGTTGTAAAAAATCACAATTATTTTTTTGACGGGAAAGAAATAATCAAATCGCTTCTCCGTGAGAGAGTTTCAGAATCTCACTGACTCAAAACCACACAACAATGCTGGCACCCACAACCAACGCTGGCACCAACAAATGGTTAGACATCGGACCTATTGGGCCCCATCATGCGGTGGTAAGCGCGGTAAACGCCGCAGGTATACACAAAACGCCCCCTGTCTCCCCCTTAAGGAAATAAGAGGTGTGACATTATTTGAATTACAACTATACTTATTACTCGATCAATACAATTAAATTCGTATTTATTACCGATTGCATGTTCAGATAATTTAGTACATGTAGGTAATATTATCAATAGTCTTAGATAATATTTTTATTTTTCCACGAAATAAGCCTACAATTTGGGAATTATTCAGTTACTCATTGATTGCATTTTATTTGTTTTATTATCCTCTCGTTGGTTGAGTGGAAATATATTTTCAAGTCTGTTCACCCTTTGGGGAAAAATAGGCGTAATGTAAAATCACTACATTCTATATTTCACTACAGTATAAAATAAAGTCGCTTTCACTGTCCTTATATCAATATAAGAATAAATTTGAGGTCAGAAAATAAGAGTAAAAAATATAATTACCGATGTTGACATCTCCGATGGTGGCCTGCTTGTACAAGGAGTACAGGGCAAGGTTCTCATCGTTGCTGGGAGTGGTCTTCCAGTTCCTGACGGAGGTGGCGACTTTGGAGAATTGCTGGAAATGTAAGAACAATATTATTAGTATGATGAATTGTCAAACCATCTTTCTTTAAATAAGTAAGTTTTTATTTATAAGATGCTGTGCAATAAAAAATGGGTAACAAATAATTAATATGGAAAGAAACCTCTTCATCATAGTATTCTTATGAATCTTGGAAATTATTCATAAAATTTTGTAGGTATATGCTATATTCGCACAACTAAAACGTTGAGTTTATTGTATGTATTTTATTTATGAGACGTGCGAAAATGTCGTTAGGTAAGTCTATCGAAGTTTTAATCTCATTTTTACCGTAAGTAGGTAACTTTAAGCGAAAATAAAAACAAATGCAATCTACAATCTTCTTCAAAATATTGCGTGACAAAATACCTGTTAGGTACTTAAAATCGGCTTTCAACCAAAATTGATACAGAGAAGACCTAAGCTAGTGTTAAAAACTACATTCGCCAACGATTTTTTTTACATTTTTTAATGTTTTTCTAGACTTATTTTTTTTTAAGTTTCATAATAGTTGCCGTACCGTGATTCAGTCTTTTATGTAGATTAGGTAATTAAACCTTATAAATTATAATGATCACTAGATAAGTTTAGGTAATGATCATGTAGAAAAACTGATTTTGTGATAATTACGCATAAGTAGGTATGTTAAAAGTTCCATAGTACATAGGTCGCACGTGTTTAAAAAGTACTTACCTAGTCTATGGGCACGCAACTTGATAATGTATTGCCCTATCTAAGATTAATTAAATTCAATATCAAGATTGTTTATTTGTAATAAGCAGCTAATTGTTTGCGAAACTCGATGTAAGTAAAACATTTTTTTACACATCACTACATTGTATAAATCAAAGTCTCTTTCTCTATCTCTACATCCTTATGTATGATTAAATTTTTAAAACTACGCAACGGATTTTGAAGCGTCTTTTTTATTAGATAGTGTGATTGAAGAGTAAAGTTTATATTATAATAACAACCTCTAACAAGTGGAGCAATTGGGTAGTTTCCAAGGTCAAAAATAAATTAATTCGACGTTTCAATACAATAAAATATTGAAAAATAACTATACTTTTATTCATCGATCGATCGATACACTCAGTTTTAGATATTTTTTAGCTAATTATTAAGAAACAAGTAAGCTATTTGACGCAAAAATGTTATGACGCCATAGCTCAGTTTTTCATACAAATTTCATAGGAAAGTATCGTTTTTGACGTTTGAATAAAAGTATTGAATTTGACTAGTTGGAAACTACCGTATTTAGTATCAGAATTGCACCCGTACCAAGGCGCAGGTAGCTAGTAGGTACACCTATGTATAATAATATAAAAAAGAAATTAAACTCACCTCGTCGAGAGACATGATTTTGATTAGTTGAGATCTGTAACGAATAAAAACATTATATGTATGCAACTCTTTATATACCTACTCGCATAATCTATGAGATTATTTCAAAAATCCAAAAGATAAATAGATATTCGACACAGGGGACTAAATATCTACGAATTATTGGGCCCGGTCGTAATACCTTAATTCCACAGCTTAGGATAAAAAACATTGTTGCTATAGGAGTGTTTTGTTCCTGTATAATCTTTTTCATTAAATCCAAAACGACACTGTATGGCCCAGCCGGGGTTCCGGCATATGCGCAATAAGGAACCGCGGCCTCGGCCTTAAGCAGGAGAAGGAACGGACGGTTTTTATTCAGTAACATTCAGTTTCAGTGACATTCCCTCTAGCCTCACTCTGGGCAAGAGAAGTCATTTGACGATTTTCCCTCCTAAAAAAAGGTTTATTTCCCCGGGTTAGTAGTAGATTGGTTTATTTGCCAGGGTGGATTGATGCAAGGGCAATAATGTTTCGTTGCCCGGCTTTGAAGCAAGAGAAAGAACGGGGCTATTTTAGTGAAAAAGAGTTTGAGTTTGAGACATTCCCTCGTCCCAGCCAGAGAAAGAGATCATTTGATGATTCCAACATAAAAAAGGAATAATATGCATATGCAAGTCGTGCATAAAATATTTTTCAGGACAAAAAAGTACATCTAGAAACCGCATCGACAAAGGTCCAATTTGCGGTTTGTAGACATTGAACGTGTGGCGTGCGCACGCGCATTCCTTGGGTTCATCGACCGGTATCAGCGGAACTAGAGCTGTTAGTGCACTTTCCAGCGTTCATTGACAGTGGAATCGCGATGTAGCGGAAATCCGGATAGATTTATTTTAGGATCAGAAGGGGAATGTTGGGAATGAAATTGAGAGCATTTGGCCAACATTTTATAGGAATTGCAAAAAGTAAAATTTAATGATTTGCATCAAGATTTTACTTGTGCAGGCAGGCACACACAATGCCACGTAATATACGTATATTGTGTTTGAACAAAAATGTAATGAGACAGCTCCATGTAGTACCTACCACTTAGTCTACAAGATATAAATATTATGTTAATGTATAAAATAAAATAAAAAAGAGCCCAGTGGTATAAAGTGTTGTGGGGTACTCACCACAAGGTAGAGAAGCTAGGTCGAGATCGCAAAGGATACTGAACAATTTTGTGTGAGACCCTTTAGTTAAATTTCGTCAAATATATGGCAGTCCTCGTCAGGGTTGTCAACATTTACGATAGCCATAATAGATAAAAATATAAATGATTAACTAAAGAGAAATCTATTGATATTATCTGATCAAGGCTAATTGTGTGGTCATTGTGTTATTAATTTGTCTAATTAATTAATAATTAGGTAACTGTGATTCATTAGTTATTCGTGATTCGTGACACATATTTAGATTTGGATACACCTGTGTGACAAATATTTTTTTTATTTTTAACTTCAATGCCGCGTTTTAGGTATCATCATTGTTCTTATCACGCTTTGATCTCTGCCCTCACAAAGTCAACACACTGCATCAAATTATTACCTACAATGAATATTACAAATTACTCACAGGAAAAATATAATATACAGCAGAAATATACATACCTGGATATAGTTTGTGAAACATACACATAATACCTATGCATTTTATTGACTTTGATTGTTGAATAAATTAAATTCGATGTCTATTGACCCCCTCGAGTCTGAACCCCCGATTCAAAAGACATAAAAATTAATTTCTGTAAAAGATTAAATGTTATATTAATATTTGAATAATATTAATAAATTAGCAAAGTAATTTATTTTTATAAGTATTTAGAAAAGTGTAAACCCTAGTTAGGTGCAATATAAATAAACGCTATCATTCAATAAAATATGGAATCTTTATCGCATGGACATAATCCACGTAAGATTAGTTGATGTTATGGTCCAAATAAAACTCTTGGTGGGATATAAAATATGTTTTGATAAGGTATACATCCGTTTCGTGGTAATTCGCACGGTCCCACCTGTTTGTTGGCTAACTAACGCCCCAAATTAATTAGGTAATTCGAAATCTCTTATTTTGGACAAAAAAAATACGAAAATCAGTATCAATATTTTGCATCCAACTTTCGAACTGTATTTTTTCAACCTATTAATAATTTTTTTTTATAATAACTATCGTGAGACATACTATTATTACTATTTATAAATTTCCCAAATAGCCCCGTTTTGCCGAGGTGAGCGCAGTGATGCGATCATATAGTTTTTAGTTCTTCTTGCTGCCACGGCTGGGGCCTCAACTTTTGTCTCTGGTCAGTAAATAATTGGGTTAAGTAGTCAACTGCTTTAGCATGTTAAACCACGACTGAGGATGGAGAATGATTATTGCAAAGCCTCGATCTTGTGGAAGGGTGGCTTTTAGCCTTTTATATTTTATTAATGACTTTATATTTTCTACCAACGGCCTTGCCCTAAATGTTATTCCAGAATACCTATAATCTATCAGCCGGGATTGCGGGGTAAGCGCAATGAGTCACCGTGGCCTCGGCCCAGAACAGGAGGAGGAACGGGGGGTTTTTAGTCAGTAAGAATCTGGCGCTTGGGGTGGGAGAAACTATTTGATGTTTTTCCCCTGACAAAAAAAGATTATTATTAAGATAATCTATCTGTGTGCCAAATTTCATTCAGATCAGTTTTTTATGGTATTCCATTAAAAAACAAACGAGGTCGGCAAACGAGCAGACGGATTACCTGATGGTAAGTAATCAGCGCCGCCCATGGACACCCGCAGCGGAGGAGTTACGAGTGCGTTGCCGACCTTTTAGGGATTAGGGTTTTGGAGATTTAGGGATTGGGAGGGATCGGGGGAGGGGAAGGATTGAGCCTCCGGTAACCTCACTCACACGGCGAAACACAACGCTGTGGTTGTTTCACGTCGGTATTCTGTGAGTGTGTCAGTTCAGTAGTTTTTATGTGAATGATACCAAAAGACTCTCATACTTTACTTACAAACGTTTAGTTTTATAATTTTACTTATTAGTTTATCTATTATTAGTCATAGGATTATCTATTTTCCTATATACCAATTTTTTGTCTTGGAAATTGATTTTGGTTATTTTCGTTCCTTCTAATGGTATTTGTTTGCATTTTACCTAATTATGTGATCATAGATTCACGCCTCTATGTTTGCCTTACGATGGTTTACAAATAGCATTTACTTGGCTAATTTGAGTATTTCCTTGTAATAGTTGGCTTAGCAGGTACAAATATTTACATGAATACCTTGTAGAGGAATAACTGTGATATGTTTTCTACTTAGAACTGACTTAGGTACCTATCTACTACAGAAATGTTCTATAGGAACAGAATCGATTCTTTGTAATAAATGAGAACAAGAACAGTTACTTTTTTAGTCCTTTTTGTGATGGGAAAATCGGCTGACTTTGTGATTACCTAAGTAGATATTTTTTTATAGTACCCACCTAACTATCGGACAACATACAAAAAAATATTCAAATTAAGACTTAACTTGCGTTAATTAATTGATTAGACGTTTGTCGCTGTGTTAGGAAAAAACTAAAATGTTTGTGTACTTACTTAATTTTTAAATTGAATATTCTTCACTAAAAATAAGTCACTAAACTAAAATAAAGTACTTACAGCTTTATCTAGAACATAACATTGAACCACATATACATAGTACCTATTCTTTATTGAAAACACTTATAAAAAGATAAAATCACTGAAGAATGAAAGAACTCAATCCGGTTAGCTAATAGGTATTATTCATCTAGGTTGGCCTTGGCGGGGAACAACGACGTTGGTAACTTTAAGATGTAGGTGCACTTATTTTTGATAGTCAGATAAGTACTGTCTAAAACTCTTCATAACCTAGATATTTAGGTAATCGGACACGCTGGTTATAGCAGCGATAAGACCCATCTTTGAGGAGTAGCTTGAGAGACGCCACGGCGTCCTCACCTTCCACCTGACGCAGGTGCTTACCGGGCATGGTAGCTTTGGTAGGTTACTGTTTCGGATCCTGCGGAAGAAAAGGCTCGGGTTTCGTCATTGTGAGGACCATTACGGAAACTCGTGGACCATATTTCACTTCTAGACGGTGTTGACCTATTGGCAATCATACCATGCGTTGCAAGAACTACTTACAAGCATTCAGTGGAACCTCGCACGGTTACTTTCGTCTGTCTCGAGAGTGGAGGTTCCATCAGAATTTTCTCTTTGTGCTCAAAAAGAGTCTGCGAACTCAGTGGGGATACCTAAACACTTAAGATCAGACCAGAAGAAATAGTTTTTTTTATGTAATAGGCAAACGAGCATACGGGTCTACTGATGGTAACTGATCAGCGCCATTCATGGATGCCTGCAACGGAAGGGGAGCCACAAGTGCATTGCCAGCCTTCTTAGAAGAAGTAACTACGCCATCTTAAAGGTTTAAAAGCCGTATAGATTTGAAAATACCGCCAAAAAAATAATGTCAACTATGACATTTTTTTCAGTTTTTGATAAAACTAAAAAGCGGTTGGATTTTTTTTTCCAAAATGTCGGCAAGATTCTAACCTAAAATAATCATAATTATTGATAGTAAACTCATTTACTTCGCAGAACGTATTTAATTTCCACGAAAAATTAGTTGATAGCAGTTCTATTAGATAATAATAATATAATAACGTTGATAAAACGATGTTGATAACAAATATTTTATTTGTTTTACTTACTCATAAATATTTAGGTATAATTGGTAGTTTAAAAAACCGAATTAACGTTCTAATTGCCAACGTTATTTTAACCGGGCCGAACTAGGTAATACCGGGAAAGATTCACTTGTCTGATTGGGTAGAAGCCAAATGCTGGGACAGGTAATATACTTAGTCGGGTCATAAGTTCTGTCACAAACTTTTGATGTAATAACTTATACGCCTTTTGACAATTATTTAAAAATTATATATGAAATGAAAGGTCATTAAATGTACAATATAATTTTATTTACATTATTCGAAATGCCCTCCCCCATTTTGAACACATGCCCTTAATCTACGCGGCCAGTCATCGATCGCTGCACGCACCACATTCATATCTATGTCTGCCGCTGCTTTAACCAGAGATGCTCGGAGAGACTCCAAATTCGGGTGAGGTTTAGCACAGACTTTTTCCTCCAAATATTGCCATATCTTGTAGTCCAGTGGGTTTAAATCTGGACTAGAAGAGGGCCAGTCTTCATGCCGGATGAAGTCAATTCCACGAGCGATCAACCAGTCTTGCGTACTTCGTGCCTTATGAGCCGGTGCAGAGTCCTGTTGGAATATCCAATGCCTGTTCCTGAACATTGTCTGAGAAAGAGGTTCCACTATGTTTGTTAGGACAGTATTTTGATAAACTTCGGCACTAGTTCTCACACCTTTTTCACAGAAAAACACCTCAGTTACGCCTGAATATGAGACTCCAAGCCAAACCATGAATGAGGAAGGGTAATGCCCACGCTGGACCCTCGCAATACGCGCGCTTGCTTCTTCACTGCTGTGGGCATACACCTTATCATTTTGTTTGTTAAAACTTTCTTCAATAGTAAAAATTTTTTCATCCGAAAAAAGAATTTCGCGGTATTTTTTTCCCGCGTACCGTCGTAGCAAAGCGCGGGATCTGTCTAGCCTAATTTTTTTTAAACGCTCGTTCAAAAAATGTCCTGTCTTTTTACGATAAGCTCGTAGTCCCAGGTCTTCATTTAGTACTCTTTTAACAGTGGTTCTGCTTAGCCCCATCTGCAGAGCTAGGATTTTTTGTTTACGTACGGGATTTCGTTCGATTCGCGCCTTCACTGCTTTGATGACCTTATGTGTCCGAACTGTGCGAGGTCGGCCGCTTCTCTTACGATCTTCGAAGCTTGACTCTTCGGTGTATCGTTTGATAG